AAAAAAAAAAAAAAAAAAAAAAAATTTACCTTCTTTAAAGAAGTTCAATTTAATGCCATGAAGCTGTTAAAATGTCATAACAAAAAACAATAATAAAGAAAAGCAGGCACTTGTTTATATATTCTTCCTTTTTTCTTTATAGAGGCAGAGTCTTACTTTATCGCCCTCTGTAGAGTGCCGTGGCGTCACACAGCTCACAGCAACCTCCAACTCCTGGGCTTAGGCAACTCTCTTGCCTCAGCCTCCCAAGTAGCTGGGACTACAGGCACCTCCCACAATGCTCAGCTATTTTTTTGTTGCAGTTTGGCTGGGGTCAGGTTTGAACCCACCACCCTTGGTATATGGGGCTGGTGCCCTACCCACTGAACCACAGGTGCTGCCCTGTTTATACATTCTTGAACTTCTGCCCTCAAGGGATCCTCCCATTTGGTCTCCCAAAGTGCTAGGACTACAAGCATGAACCACTGCACCTGGCCTCATACACGTATCCTAAGTCCTTCCTGGACCTTCTGAGATCTCGCCTTCATAAATTAGGGCCTGCATGTTTTTCAAGTTTTTGGTTTTAGATAATTCATTTCATTATGAAACTACCCCTATTTCTTAAGAACTTACTCTCATTATCTCCCACTGCAAGAAAAACAGTGAACTCCATTTAAAAAAAAATTCCCTCTTCCTATCCTCAGAAACACCAAATAGGATAGAAAAAACGAGGAGAAAACCACGTTTCACACAGGCACACAAGCATACCATGTTCATAATAAATAGTGTTCAAATGAAAATTAATCTGTATTATTTTGTATGAAAAGCTCAAGACACTAAGGTGACACAAATGTTAGTGGCTATACTAACAATACTTATAAAAATGAAAGAATATATTTGACTATAAAATCAAACTTCAGGCAACGCCTGTAGCTCAGTGGGTAGGGCACTGGCTACATACACTGAGGCTGGTGGATTCGAGCTCAGCCTGGGCCTGCTAAACAATGACAACTGCAACAAAAAAAAATAGCCAGGCATCGTGGCGGGCACCCATAGTCCCAGCTACTTGGGAGGCTGAAGCAGGAGAATCGCTTAAGCCCAAGAGTTGGAGGTTGCTGTGAGCTGTGACACCATACTACTCTACCAAGATTGACGTAGTAAGACTCTGTCTCAAAAAAAAAAAAAACATCAAACTTCACATATTCTTTCTACCACCATTTCTGCCATTCAAGCAAACCACTAAGAAACCAAGAGAAAACTGGACTTACCAGTGGAGTGTATCAAGAGTGCAAGTCTCTTAAGGTGCCGCGTGGACAGGTAGATCAGGTTATAGCCTTGTTTTCTGACTTTGCTGTGGTGATACTGGATGTAGCGTTCAAGCAGTAAATGGAGAACCCACAAAGTGACCTTTCCCAGGATGATGACCGTCTGAACTTTCAGTGGGTCAGTGTAATTTCCTGGACACTTGTCCTCATTTGGATCAGGGTAAGAACAGAACACACCTGTTAAAAATGCTAAAATAACAAATACAACCTGGTAAAAAGAAACAATATTTGGAATCAGAAAACAATAGCCACCAAATCAGCACACACTCTTATACCTATGAATTTCACTATTCTATTTTTATACATGTGTTTTAAATCATTTTTACAAACTTAAAACAGATCATAAAAATTTGTAGCAAATTTGGAAAATCACAAATAAGAATATAAAAAGCATCCCAAATCCCATCTAATGGAGATGACCACTGTTAAATGCAGTTTCTGGCCCACTTCTCTTTCATTAATTCAGCACCTCAAAGGCAACTAGTAAAAATCATGTTTTGATAGGTCGGCGCCTGTGGCTCAAGCGGCTACGGCACCAGCCACATATACCAAAGCTGGCAGGTTCGAATCCAGCCCAGGCCCGCCAAACAACAATGAAGGCTGCAACCAAAA